GCTAAATCTGTGTGCAGGACCCAAGGACTTGAGTGTTTATGGGAAGAATCTCGTCAAATGCCAGGACTCGCAAAGAAAGGACACATTTCCAAATCGAGAGTGAAGCTCACAGCGCAGACTGACCCTTCCATCTCTCTCGACAACATTTCTCTCACCCTCAGCAGCTAGTGAGGAGGGTTTGGTCCCGGGAAAGGAGCTGAAATTGAAAAGGAATTATAAAATGTGGCTCTGGGGGAAGATTTTTATGCTCCTCCTTACGGAAGCCAGAGAGCTCCACGCTGGCTGTCACATGTTGGGATTCTGCCCATGAGTGTGGAATTTTCCTTGTCTCAGGCACCTTTATTCCATGGTGATTGCTCCTGGATGGGGGTGCGGTGGTCCAGGTCACCATTCTCAGACACACCATCTCCTTGGAGGGTCCCAGCTGCCCTGCACAGTTGGCAGCGCAGGTGTTATTTGCCTCTGGGCATACGATGCTAGAAGAGGAGGGTTTTCAGGGAGCCAGAACTCTCGCGCATGAGTTGGCTAAAATAGGATTCCACAACACAAGCATGTCTTTCTCTTCTTCAGGTTCTTGATTCATGGTTTGAGGAATGTCCTGGAGTCTGGTAGAGGTCTCCTACCAAAGCAAGTGTGAAGGGAGTGGTCCCATGAACGTATGGTTCTCACTTCACGTGTCACCAGCACGTGGCAGTCCCTCCAAAGGTCCCTCGACAGCAGGAAGCTGGTGAGACTCTCCACGCAATCAGCCCTTGGGAGAGTGAAGGGCCCCCAAAGTAGCAAGGAAAGGACCGAATGGTCCCGTGTGGTAGCTGCTCTCCAGAGATGGCCCCAAGGATCCCTCCCCTCCCTGTAGGCATGTGCTGTTCCTCACATCGAGACGTGGACCTTATTCCCCTCTCCCTGAATCTGGGGCGACCTTGTGACTCCTTCTACCAGCACAACGTGGTGGAAGTGACATCTGGGACTTCCTGAGCCTCTGCCTTGAGAGGGTTAGAAGTGCCTGCTTCCTCTCTCTCATAACACTTGCTCCTGGGATGCCCTGAGAGTCCAGCTGTGGTGCAGGATAGATGGAGAGGCCCCATGGAGGACAGCTGAGGCGCTCTCATTAATAGCCTCAGCGGAGCTCCCAGCCAACAGCGCAGGTCAACGACTAGCCATGGGAAGGAGCCATCTTGGATGTTCCGGCCCAGTCAAGTGTTCAGATGTTTGCAGCCCCATTCAAAGATTACGTGCATCAAACGGATCACCTTGCTGAGTCCAGACACCCAGGCTCACAGCATCATGAAGGATAATGACATGGTTACTGCTTCAAGCCATGAAGTTTGGGGGTAGCTTGTGGCAGAGTAGTGGACAACCAAAACCTGCTCCCTCACCAGAGGAGTCTGATGGGCTAGGATTCATTCTCGGAAATCTGTCCTGCAAAGCTCTGCGTGAGTGCCCGATCTTCAGCTAGCCTTGGGTGTGGGAGGCCAGCTGATCCAGGAGTCACGTGACCGACCAAGCCCTCAGAGGGAAAAAGACCACCAGATTCACCATGAAGACCAGCTGTAGCTTTGCGTTTCGTTGTTGTTTCTAACTTGGGATTACTTTTTAAAGAAGATTAAGGTCAAGCAACAGAGGAAACCCAAATTACTAAGCCTTAGTCTTTGAAATCCCCCAGAGGACTGAAATAAATTAAACATGGTTTCAAAATGAAGAAAGTTACCCGCGGGTCCTCCGTCTCGGTTCAAAGCCACATCAGGTCAGCTCTACCAGAAGGAAAAAAGAGCCATGGTCCAGCTGCCCAGCCCATAACCCAGGCTCTGTCTCCTTGGCCTTTGGTGTGTGTGCAGAGGTCAGGCACGTCTTCTTCCCTCTGTCCACAGGATCTCAGTTCCTGACCCTGCCTGGTGACCGTGGCTTTCAGACCCTGATATAAGGAACTTGGTGTCTCCTGGTTCCGTCCCTCAGGGGCACCTGGGAGGCACCACTGCACAGTGGTTCCAACAAGGGATTAATCTCTGAATGCAAATCTCATCTCTTACTCACTTCCTCGCATTATTTGCAAATTCTCCTCTGAGCTTCACGTCCTTCATCTTTAAAACTGTAGAATAATTTCTCCCTTACAGCGGCAGGTGTGAGGATTCAATGCAATTTATTTTGACCCAAATAAAGCCACTCCAGCCAGCCTCAGCCTCTCAAGACTTCGAAGTTTAGGCCCCAGACCCGTGAGCGGGGAGTGATCTAGGAGGTCCAGCCCCAGTAGACATCACATGGAGCCCAGGTGAGACAGCCCTACTGGTCCCACCTGGATTCCTGACCCCCAGAATCGTGAGAAATAATTAAAGAGTATTGTCATTTTAATCTGCTAAGTAATGGATAACAACTGAGGCAGTGGATAACCAAAACACCTAGGTACCTGAACTAGGAGGTAAGCTGGCCTCCTGGTTCTAGTTTCAGCCCCGACACATCTGTCAAGTTTCAAGAGCCTCTTGGCCTCTGCTCACTGGTTCCTACCCAAGTTGTGTTGTGTTCTGAGAACGTAAAGCATAGACAACGTTCATTCTGCCCAAGCTCTGCAGAGAACCCGGCAAAAAATAGGCACTTAATAAAAGGCTTCATGTTGACACTCACAGTTAATATGATCGTGAGTCACACAAACTCTGGGAGGGCAGGAAACAAACCACTTTTCCTTTCTTAGTCATTGAGTCATGCTGGCAGGATTAAAGCGACACTTCCATCATCTACACACCCTTCAATGCCAGAGGCCCTCACTGATAAATCCTGCTGATGCGAGAATCTGTTCCTATCCGTGGGCTCTCCCAGTGCTGAATCTGTTTAGGTCGAGGGCATTTTGTTTTCTCCAAAATCAAGGCATCCTTGTTCAGATGTCTACTTACGTGGAAGGAGCTCAGAGTCAACTGAATGAAGAGTCGGATAAGTTTGGAGAATCCTTCCACTTGATCGTCAGTGATGAAAGAGAAGAGAATCTCGTGAACACCCAGTAAGGGAATGAGGACCAGCGTTGACTTGGCCAGTCTGCAAACAACAACCCAACAGCTGTCAGGAGGGCACACGGGGAACAGGCAACATTTCCTTCTCTCCTGTGCGTCCTTTACTGTAGTCCTTATCCTACTGACAAATAGCTGATTTTCCCACTTGTCTCCTCGTCTCATGGAATGCCTCAAGGACCAGTGTGGTCTTGGTCATTGAAGCATCCCTACACCTGCCTCATGGAAGATGCTCAGAACACATGAATTGAATGAATGAATGAATGAATGAATCCCCCCACGTAGATTATGATATACCTACAGATCCTAACGTTTTGCTTGATGGGTAGATTTCCATGCCCATGGCTGTCACCCTGGGACACCACGCCCCTTCCAGGTTTGACACGTTTCCGATCACCTGGCTAGCCAGCACACCTCCACCTCTTTCTCTTTCCAGACTTCCTGTGTCAGGGCTCTACTGAGCCTGAGAAGGGAAAGAAAGTGACTTGCCCAGGGTCACACCCCTACTAACTGGTACATCCCAGCCTGGAAGCTGGGCTTCAGACCTCACACTCAAGCCTTGCACCCTCCAAGCAAGACTTCACCATCTGCCCGCAGGCTGCCCCTCAGCCCTGGTGACAGCGAAGGCAGCAGGAAATGAGACACTGATCCTTCCCCATAAAAAGCACTGTGTGGAAGGTCACTGTTGTATACACTCTACACGAAAAAGACAAACATTCCTCGGTACCACCCACGTGCAAACTGCACAGCTGGGGCCCAAACATTCCGCACCGCATGCCCGTGGTTCCCAAACAGGCTACCAGAATTCCTTACGGAGATTTTTAAATATATATATTTTTTATTGGTTGGATATATATACATCCTGGGAACGGGGATTTTGAAAGACCTCCCCACTGGCCACGGTGTCAGCAGCCACATTTGGGAACAACTGCTCTCTACCATTGAGCTGCTTCTCAATTTAAAACTAACTCCATTAGCAAAGGTGACTCACATTCAGGGCATAAACAAAGCTACTGTCTGATACACATTGGGGAAAAAAGAGTTTAAATGTAATGATTTTTTCTTTTTTAGCCCAAGTCACTTGCCTTAAAGGGCCCGAGTAGGAGAAGGCCCCTCCCCATTGAATACAAACCCCCTGGAATCAAAGATGCGGACACAGAGGGGGTCATTAGCCCCTCCTGGGCGGTAACTCCAGGAAGGTTTAACTCTATCCGAGAGGAAGCGCTGACCACAAATCCTGTGTCTGTCAGAGTCATTTCAATGCAATGTTGTCAATGAAACAGAAAGCCTCACCTTTGTGTCCTAAAAGGACCTCAAGCCAGTAAGAGTTGAGCAGGAGTCACCAAGGAACAGGGACTCTACCCGAGCACGTGGGCTGAGTGTCCCGGGGCCTTGGTGGTCAAGGGGAGGCCGAGGAGGGGGGAGTCTGAGGCACGGGCCCCGGTTACGTGGTCCTCCTGGGCCGACCTCATAGCCGCTTCCACGCCCAGGGCCACCTAACTGCGCTCCCGAGGAGAGACTATTCAAGGGTTTGGGGTTTTGTTTAATTTCCAGGAGTGTTTTAAAACCCTCTAGCTCAACGGTTGCAAAGTGGCAACCATGGGCTATTCGGCCTGCAGACACTTTCTGCTTACGCTAGGCAGTGATTTTTGTCATTGGCACCATCTTGGAAAACAAGGAGTTTTCAAGCAAAGGTGTCCACATTTCCAGCCTCTTTGGAACAGGGAGATCTGGCTACTCTGGGCCCCAGTTGCTGCTTGGCAATCGTCGGCTACAGGCTTTAGAGGGGCCACGTGCTCTCCAACCCTGACCAGCCTGCTGGTCTTTGCAAGTGTGTGAGTCTGCGACCCTTGCTCTGGGCCACCTGGACACGCACTTACATACTTACATGCAGACCCATGTCTTATCAACTTAGTCTTGGGGCCAGGCTATGACTTTGTTTTTTTTTAATGGAGGCGCTGGGGATTGAACCCAGGACCTTGTGCATGCTAAGCATGTGCTCTACCACTTGAGCTATACCTTGCCCCCTGACATTATGTTTTTTAAATAAACTTGTTATTTTAGAATAATTTTAGATCTGTAAGAAACTAGCAAAGACAGCATAGAGTGTGCCCACATCCCCTTCACTGCGTTTCCCCTAATGTTGAAATATTACACGGCCACCGAACCTTTGTCAAAACTAAGAAAGCAATGTTGGCATGTGACCAATCCCGATACTCAGACTTTATCTAGATTTCAACCAGTTTTCCCACTAAGGTCCTTTCCACGTGCCAGGATCCAATCCAAGATCCCACATTTAGTGTGGGATGATTTTTAAAGAATAACCATATTTTGCCCAATATTAATTATATTTAATATTAATCATATTATTTTTATTGCTAATATTTACAAATAAAATCAGCAAAATATTTGAAATTTAATATCCAGTGTTAAGGAATTTTTTTGAAGAAATGTAAATTATATAAACTTTCTGGAAGGTAATTTGGAACTAAACACCAAAATCTTTTAAAATATTGACATCCTTTGACCCAGAAATCCAAATTCTTGCAGCTTATTTTATGAAAAGAAGGAATAACCATCTTTTTATGAAGTTCTGGGCCATTTTCATAACTGCCGCCTTGCTGGGTGGATGTCAGAAGGGACTTCCCACCCCTCATCTCATTCTCAGCTGTCCTTAGGCAAAGTACTATGTGTGTCGCTGTCCACATGAAAATCCCTAAATATCTATAGCAGCTTCCTCTTAGGGACTGTGTTTACGCCTGTTTTTCATCTATAGTCATTTGTTTATTTAAATGGTTTAGTTTATTGCAGTCGTTTAGCTATTCAACAAATATTTATCGAGCATCTCTCTGGGCATATGAGCAAGTAAGTGAGAGAGGAGGGGCTGCGGTCTAAGGCAGCAGGACGTGGGGACAGTACCTGTGTCCTGGGCTCAAACCCCAGCGCCACCAGTTACTAGCGATGTGGCCTTGGGCAAATCATCTCACCTCTCTATCTGTGAAAGTGAGGATTGTACTACTAATAATAGAATGTGAAATGTTAAAATAATAAAAGTATTATTAATGGTAATCCCTGACAGTGCCACTGTCAGGACTAAAAAACATGTCATTGTAAGAACTAAATAACCTTAGAATAAATGGTACCTGATACAGGATGCATGATCAATAAAATTTAGCTATCACTATTTTTATTTTAAATAATTTTACAGTTCTTTTTTAAAATTAAAAAAAAAACTTTTTTACTGGAGGTACAGGGGATGGAACCCAGGACCTCCTGCACGCTAAGCATACTGTCTACCCCTGAGCCACACCCACCTCCCAGCTATCACTGTTTTTACAGAAGACATCCCTGCCCTCAAGTTGCACACAACCTCAATGACTTGGATCAATTTTACTTCCATCTGTGACATTTTTCATCTTCAGCTGCCTACCAGAACGTCCTTTCAGAAAGGAGTCTGGGGTTTAGCATGTTAAGAAATGATTCTCCTTCATATGTTTGTTAAGAGTTCTGCCCCACGGGTCACATGGAAAGCTAAGATCATTTATCTAGGAGGAGACAGCCATTCTGTGCTGGGAACCACAAAGAGCAGAGAAGCTGAGGGCCCAGTGGTGTCTGTCCACAGTCCAAGGGCATTGCTCTCCCTCCAGGCTTGGCTCAGTGGTCCCTCTCCGGACCAGGCAGCTGGGCTGCTTACAGTTTCTCCCCTTGAAAGGTAGAAGCCTGGGGACAAGGGCCAGGACTCCAGAAGGTTCTCCAGCTCCTAGCAACTTGCCTCTCTGGCAAGTGCGTTCAATTTAAACTTTCCTGAAATGTATTCCTGGAGAGGGGCCAAATCTTGAAAACTACATTCTGAAAGTTCTCAAAATCTAGGAGTTGGAGAGAGGCCTGTTCCTACCAGAGTTTGGACAAAATGGGCTGCCATTTTGCCCACTGCCCCTTCCTCCTCACCCTAGCAGGGGGCCCTAATGGAAAATGTACATGGAGGGGGCTGTGGAAGAGGAGAACTTTCTAACGTAAAGGAGGGCAGTGTGAGCTGCGGGTGCTCATGACGCACTGGGGTAATAGAAAGCAGCCCTCCCAGAACTTGGAAATGAGGGAGTTAGCACAGCCTAGACGGAAAAATGGGCAAATGGGCTTATCAAAGCTAGCCCAGGGAGTAAAATAAGGCGGCCTGGGGGCATCCTAAGAGACAGAGCCCTCGCTTTTAAATTAATAAGCATAAGCTTAGTGATTCAGATATATATTCTTTTTCTTGTCTGATTGCTACGGCTAGGATTTCCAATACTATGCTGAATACTAGTGGTGAGAGTGGGCGTCCTTGTCTTGTTCCAGATTTTAGTGGAGAATCAATTGTATTGCACTCTGCATGGAGACAGAATGAATAAACAGAAAACAGATGGGCAACCAAAATGGCAGGAAAAGTCACAAAGAAGCAGGAAGTTCTCAGGACTTACCCAGCCCTATGGGTGGAGACTCTGGGGGATGACCCCTCCCTCTCACCAGCCAGGGGCGCCACAGGGGAGTGGTGGTTTCTCAGGCCACCACAGTGACCCTTCAACACCAACCACCCTACTTAGATGACATGATCACCAAGCAGCATTCTGCGGACTGCTTTGGATTTCTGGATTTTTCGATGTCAACTTTATGAGGAGTGCAGGCACTAGAAGGACCCCTGCCGCTGCCCTACCCCCATCTTTCACAGACTCTAAGAATGAATAATCGTATAGTCTGGTCTGTGTATTAGTCTCTTGTGACTTCAGCTGGTATTTGTCAGCCCTCCAAAGTCTCAGCCACTCAGGGACACTGAGAGGTCACCAGGACAGTCCCCGGCTAAGGGCAGACTCGTCCAGGTGAGGTGTCTCACACTGGGAGGCCTCCAGGTTGGTAGGTACCCAGGTTCCTCTTTTTGAGCTTTTTCCTTGAATGAGGAAATGACAGGGGAAAGGAAAATGGAGCCACCCGGTCCTTAGACTGTGGATGTCAGGCAGGGTCACTCTTTCTCTCCCCAGGACAGCTGGCCTGAGTCACTGCTCAGTCATGAAGATCTCCCCAGCATCCTAATTTACACTTGCCTAGATAATTGGCTCCCAATCAGGTGTGCGCACTTCAGGGCTCTGCCAGGAAATCCATTTGGTATTGGAAGAATATATAAGAGAAGATAATAGAAGTTCTATGTAAGTTAATTTTTATCTATTCTTTGTAGTTGTCTTTATGTCGGAATTTAAAACGTATGTACTCATTCAGTAGACCACGTGTGTATGTGATGAGGTGACATCATTCTTTACTGACAGCCATGTGTGATTAGAAAAGCCTGGAGCCACTGTCCTGGATAACTTTAGAGAAAAGCCAGGAAAGCCAGGAAAAGAGGATGTCAAGGCTGCTTAGAAACACATTTGCCATGGGCCAACCAGAAAATTCCATGCATTATTTCACTAGAGCATCTGGTCCTGCGGCCCCCGACTCTGGCTGTGTATCAGAATCTTCCGGGGATTCTCCTATAAGAAGGTCACGTGGTGGGGTTCCATCCCTCATGTACTGAGTCAAGTACCCTGTGGGGGGCTCACAAGTTGGGGCTTCTGGCCAGCTGTCAGGTGACGCTTAAAGCAGCAAGGACGGAAAGCTACTATAGGGGCCGCTGTGGGTCTGCAGCTCGGGGACAGCTCCAGTGCTCCATGGTGGGCTTTGGGGGCACAAGATGGTGGGGTTTAGGCTCTCAGTCTGAGTGGAAAGTGGTGCCTTGGCATTCGTCTGCCCTGTTTCTGTCTCCTGCTGTCTTCTGTTGGGTTTTGGTGATGCCTGGGTGTCCCCTGCCCCTGGTTAGGGAGAGGGCTGCCCTGCCTGAATGGGCCACGCAGCAGACAAGAGAAGCCCTGCTCCTGGCCTTGGACCTCCACCCTCAGAGAGTAGTGAGAGGCTGAGCCTTGGGAAAAGGGCCAAAGAGGCTGTCAGCCACTTGGAGACTCGGCCAGAGGCGCCAAGAAAGTCGGCGTGGCTCTGTGTGGTCCAGGCCAGCCCAAGTGCCCCAGGGCTGAGGGGTTTTGTAAGATATTTGAGCCAACTATGGTATATACTTGCCTGGCCCTCAGCTGTGTGTGTTTACCCTTCTGGAATTCCTGGGGGGAGAGTTTTAGGAAGACAAGATGTGGGGTCTGGAAACCCTGGGTAAATACCAAGCACCACACCTGATCACAGCGAGCCACGTGTGCCTATGACCTCCTTTGATCCTCACAGCCAGCAGGGGAGGGGCCTGGTGTGACACTCCCACGTTACACACCAGAAGGCGGGCCCAGGGAGGCCAAGCAACTTGCCCTGGGTCAGTCTGGGGCCATGGCCTCCGGCCTCACATTCCAGACCAACATCCAGGCCCTTGGTGAGTTAGAATGTATGCTCCTCACAGACGGGATCCCCATCCTATCTACCTTTTGCTCAAAGCGCTGTGCCGAGCACACTGCAGGCATTCATTAAACGTTTGTCAGGTGAATGAAAAAACTACCTTCCCGTCTCACCTGACTCCGACCCTCCTCTGGCCTCAGAGAGGAAGAAACAGAGCGACAGCCATCCTCACCCACCCCTCCACCTCTGGCCTGGCACATGGACTGAAATCTCCCTTTGGAGCTAAACTTTGGGTTAAAACATTCTGTCCCCAAGAAGTGCACACATTCTACAGAAAGTAAAGAGTAACGGGAGAAGGTGGGAGGGAGTCCTTTATCTTCCATTCTTTCATTCATTTTTCTTTACAGCAATTCAGAGCTCAAGAAATACCTACGATCTGACTTACCGTGAGATGGGACGGCGGTCACCATGGAAACAGAAGGCGGGACCCAGCAAATGCAAGTACAAAGAAAGGGTGACTGTGTAAAGGATGTTCTGACCTCTGGCTACTCACCTGTATTTATAATCCCTGAAGCACATTTGATGAGCTTTGAGCTTAGAAATGAGAAGCTTGAGAATTTTCAGGAAGATGAAGAAATTGACCTGGAAAAAAACCGAACAAACAGATACGGGTAAGCGATGGACTCCATGTGGCTATGCACATTAAGGTCGCCCCAGACCAGGCCATCAGATCCTTGTCCATGTAAACAGGGGCAAAGCAGCACTCAGCCGGTCAGGTGGTTAAGTGTTCACCGTAATCCCCACTCTCCCTAATACCATCTCCACTGAGAGTCTGGAAAGGATCCTGAAAAGTCACTTAGTTTATTCTTCTGCCTCAGGGAGACCCACCACCACAGCCATCTGAGGAAGGCAGCTGGACATTTGCATGATTATTTTTAACTGACATTTATTAAGTACTCACCATGCCAGGCATCGGGCTAACTTTCCATACATTATTTTATTTCATCCTCACAACATCCTCTGAGGAAGCCACACTATTTTTATGCCATGATACAGTAAGAAAACAGAGGCACAGAGGAGGCACGTACCATTCCCAAGGTGGCACAGCTAGGAAGGGACGAGCTGGTAGTTAAGTCCAGATTTACCTGATTATCACCCTCCCTTTACTCAAGCCAAAGGCCACACTGCCTCCCGCTGCAAAGGACTCCAGGCCTATTGGTGTCAAATTTGACATCCTCTTGCTGCCACGGAATTCACTGGAAAGCACATTTTCTCCACTCCCCAGACAATTTTCCACAACTGTCATAGCCTCGGAAAATTGGACCCTTCATTGTCAGCCTTGGGAGACATTTAAAAATATGTCTGCAATGTTGTGTTAGTTTCTGGTGTACAGCATAGTCATTCAGCTATTTTATATATATATATACACACACACACACACATCCTTTTTCATTATAGATTATTGTAAGATATTAAATACAGTTCCCTGTGCTATACAGTAGGTCCTTGTTGTTTATTTATTTCTCTATATAATAGTTTATATCTGATAATTCCCAAATCAACTATCCTTCAATAAAAAATCACATTGAACACCTTAAACTTAAGTGCGTTACAAGTCAATAATACCTAAATAAAGCTGGAAAAATTTTTAAAAATTTGTCTGCAAGTTCTTCAACACTGCTCCCTTCAAAAGGCAGAGCCGAATTTCCCTTTTCTCTCTGGAACGTGAGCTGGGTTTAGCTATTTGCATCTAATGAAAAGAATATGGCAGAAGTGATGCTATGCGATTTCCGAGGCCAGGTCCTCCAAAGGATGGCTTGCACCTGGTGTCCTCTCTCTCAGCGCTCACTCTGGGGGAAGCCAGCCGCCACGTTGTGAGGACACTCAAGCGGAAGCCCACATTGGGGGGTCGCGCCCTCCTACAGCCAGCACCTCTTACCAGCCACACATGTAGCCCCCTTGGAAGCTGACCCTCCAGCCCAGCCAAGCCTTCACAGGGCTGCAGCCCGGGTCACCCTCTTGACAGCAATCCTATGAGAGACTGCGAACCTCCCGAGAAGGCAGAGCAAGTGGTCCAAGCGTGGGTAGGGCTTGCAGAATGAGAACCAGGTTTGTGAGACATGAGATGGAAGAGAGAGGGAGGGAGGGCCAGTTCCTACAGAGCCTTTCACAGTCACCCTAAGGAGTTTGGGTTTTCTTCTGAAAAACAGTGGGGAGGCAGTGATGAATTTTAAAGGGACAAGTGACCTGACCAGATTTGCATTTCTGCATCTCATTAGTAGCAGGCTGGGAAGAGACCGGATGAAAGCAAGATTGGATGCAGGAAGGGAGATGAGCTAGGTGGCAGTTGCTGAGTTCCCAGGGAGGATGAGGGCGAGGGGAAGAAGAGCAGTAGCGCTGGTGGCTCAGTGACGAAGCAGAAGAGATGGATCAGACAGTATTAAGGAGTCTGCACCAGATGACCTTTGCTACCGGCCGGGTGTGAGGTCAAAGCTGACTCCAAAGTTTCCTGTAGATCTCAACGTGTGCTAGTGCCCCTCACCAAGAGAGTGGCCACTGGAGGAGGAAGCGCACTCGGGCCAGGGGGAATCTAGTCGTTTCGGACACAAGCGCTATCTCAAGGCAGTGAGACATTCATGTCTAGACCTCAGCAGGGAGGTCCCAGACAGAGCATGGAGCCAGTGAAGCAGGTGAGGTGTCCAGGGAGGCTACGCAGACTGGGAGAAAAAGAGGGTTAAGAGAATCACCTTGTAATGAAGGGGAAGGTGGAGGAAAGGAGACAGCAGAGGAGATGGAGAAAGGGTAGCCAACCGGAATGAACCACAAGGAAGCGGTTTCCAGGGAAGCTCAGGATGGGAAGAATTTCAAGAAGGTTTCAACGCTACAAGGAATTCAAGCAAACTAAGACTGCACTTAGCAACAAGGAGCTCACTAAGAGAGGCTGCAGTCCACAGGCAGAAGCGCAAGCCAGGTCTCAATGCTGTTTTGTGAAGATGGAAGGCAGCAAGTGTAGACCACATTGAAGAGGCTTGGCTTCAATAGGAAGCAGACCGATAGAACAGTAGTTGGCAAGGGATGCAGATTGGAGACAATGTCTCTCCACTAATTTACAGAGCTAGAAGAGGCTTTTGGGTGCAGTTGTTCTTAAAGTTGCAAAGACTTAAAAATGCCTCTGTGCGATGGAGAAAGAGCCCACAGAGATGGCGGTCGGGTGACAATTAATGGAGAAAAGTCTTTACGGCAATACTGATGTCCCTGTCTTAAACCACATACTGAACGAAACACAAGCTGTAGAATCCAATACCCACCTGCTATTACTTGCCTCATTGGTCTCGGGAGAATC